ACTGTTTGTAGTTTTGACTGTTTGTAGTTTTGACTGTTTGTAGTTTTGACTGTTTGTAGTTTTGACTGTTTGTAGTTTTGACTGTTTGTAGTTTTCACTGTTTGTAGTTTTCACTGTTTGTAGTTTTCACTGTTTGTAGTTTTCACTGTTTGTAGTTTTCACTGTTTGTAGTTTTCACTGTTTGTAGTTTAAACTGTTTGTAGTTTTAACTGTTTGTAGTTTTAAGTTAGTTGTCCAAAACAACAATAGGTTGTCTCGGACCACCTAAACAATATGTCAACAGTTGTTTGTGTGCCCTCAGGCGGTGGCGCCCACACGGATGAAGCTGCGTGTGCGTCGAGGTGACGCTGCGGCGGCGTCCGGAGGAGGCGGTCCTGTGGAAGGACCGGCTGAGAGAGCAGGAGGAGGCAGCAGGAGCAGGAGGAAGAACAGCAGCAAAGGATCAGGAGCAGCCGCCGCCTCCTCCTCCTCCTCGCCGCCGACCACCTCCACCGGCTCGGCGCGGGCGGTGAGGGCAGCGGAGGAGGCGTCGCCCGACTCCAAGTGTCCGATCTGCCTGGACCGCTTCAACAACCTGGCGTACCTGGATCACTGCCTGCACCGCTTCTGCTTCCCCTGCATCCAGGAGTGGTCGCACAACAAGGCCGAGTGCCCGCTCTGCAAGCAGCCCTTCGCCTCCATCCTGCACTCGGTGCGCGCCGAGGACGACTTCAAGGAGTACACGCTGCAGCCGCCGCCCGCCAACGGCAGCGTGGCCGCCACCGTGGCCATGGTGGCCGCCATGGCCTCGGTCAGGAACGACCGCCGCATGAGGCTGATGCTGCGGCGGCACCGGGCGGCACCGAGCAGGGTGACCGCCACCAGGAGGCGCAGGAGGGGGCGGGGCTCTGAGGAGAGGGCGGGAGGGGTGTGGGAGCTGTTCCTCGATCCTCCTCCTCTCTCCTTCCCGCCGCTCTCCCGCCGCCTCGCCGTCTCAAACGTGGAGGAGGACAGCGAGGAGGCGGAGGGAGCGCTGGACGACGGAGCCATCTTCAACCAGCTGACGGGCCTCAGAGGGGCGGCGGCCTCCAACAGCCGGGCGCTGCGGCGGCTGACGGCCCGCCTCACGACGAGGCGGCGGCTGCAGCGGGAGGGCGGGGCCGTGAAGCGGCTGAGGGAGGGGCAGATGCTGAGCTTCCGCCGCTCGCTCTACCAATGTGGCGTACGAGTCTGCGGCGTCGCGGGGGCCAACGGAGGGCAGCAGCTCGACATCACGGCGGAGGGTTTCCACCAGAGCCCCGCCCACCTGAACAGACTCCGCCCCTGGCTGCGGCGGGAGCTGCGGGTGCTGTACGGCTCCAACTCGTCCCTGGTGGACATGGTCCAGAACATGATAGTGGCGCGGCTCGCCCTCCACGGCCTGGAGGACACGCTGCTCCTGGAGGAGGACCTGCAGCCCTTCCTGCAGGCGCGCACGCAGCACTTCCTGCACGAGCTGCTCAGCTTCGCACGCTCGCCACTCAGCATGGACGCCTACGACGCGCAGGCCGTGTACGAGCCCCCCGCCGCCGCCGCCGCGGAGCTGGACGGGCTCAGCAGCTCCTCTGACGGCAGCTCCGTCATCGCCATATCTGAGGAGGAGGAGGAGGAGCGGAGAGGAAGATCTGAGGGAGCCGCCAGCAACGACATCGATGACATCATCCAAACAGGAAGCAGCCTCAGCCTGACCGGGTGGGACGATGAAACGCCTGGCCCCTCCTACTCCACAGCATCCTGTTCGTTGGCTCTGCCTCTGTCTTTAAGCCCCGCCCCTCTGGAGCCAGATGAGGGAGGAGGAGACAGAGGGGAGGAGGAGGAGGAGGTGGAGGAGTGTCTGATCGTCGGGTACAAGAAGCCCATCGCAGAGCGGACCCCCGAGCTGGTGCAGCTGTCCTCCGACACCGACCAAGACCAGGCGAAGACGAAGAGGGAGGAGGCGGAGCCAGTTGACAAGGCTCCTCCCCTCCCCTCACCCACTCCTTCTTCCTCTTACCTACCCGTAATCCCCCCCTCCACGTCGAGCGCCTGCGTCGTGGAGCAGGAGGCGGGGCAGAAGGATGAGGAGGTGTGGCAGCAGCGGCGGCGCTCATGCTCCTGGTCAGGAAGCTCGGGCCGGAGCAGGAAGTCGCTCAGTGTGGCAGCGCCCGAGCGCCAGCGCGGCAGGAGGAGGAGGAAGAGGAGGAGGAGGGGGCGTGACGAGGGGCCGAGGAGGAGCGGCACCTTCAGCAACCCCAACCGCTCCATTTACCCCCCCATGATGCGGCGCCRCTCCCCGCCGCTGTTCGCCTCCAGCTGCGACTCCTCCTGCTCGCCGCTGCCCTCCAGCCCCGACCTCCGCTGCGTCCAGGTCTCCCCCCTCTCCACCCCCTCCCTGCAGGTGGAGGCTGAGGCCTCAGCAGCAGAGGTGCGAGGCCTCCAGGAGCGTCTTGAAGCCACCGACCTCGTGAGTGAGGGTCTGCGCAGAGAGCTGAGAGAGCTGGGYGCCCGGCAGAGCCACGCTAACGCCGAGCTGCACCAGGCCCGGCTGCAGGTGGCCCAGCTCACCCTGCAGCTCTCCGATCAGGACCTGATCCTCAGAGAGGAGCGGGCCAACTCGGCCCTCGAGAGGGAGGCTTACAAGCACGCAGCAGAAGTGAGGCTCTGACAGGAGATTACATGCTGATGCAGACTGTGTGTGTGTGTGTGTGTGTGTGTGTGTGTGTGTG